GAAAATTGGCGCTTTCTCTATAGTCCCGGTAAATCTAGAGGTCTCCCGATATTTGCCACTAGTGCGTGGTCCCGCTCTTATTATGATCCCGGGAGACCAATTTGTACGCATGGCCTAGCACCCATTACATTGAATATTTTTTTATATTTGAATATAGGTGCTTACCTTATATTATACAGATAAGGCACACTTCAAAATTTTGTCGGAGTATGTAGCTCTGGTATCGAAATCATTATGATGGCTTGAAAAATTATGTTCAAATCTAATTATGAAAATCTAAATATCTCAAAATGATACAGATCGTGTATATCTATAAATACTTCAAAATCTTAAAAATAGATAGTCCAAATAACTTATTACAAGATGTATTATTTTTAAGATTAAAAAAGAAAAATCTATTTCTTTATATCTATACATCTCGAGGTCCACATGTTCAGTTGAATGGTTTCCCTACCTCAAAACACTATTTTTTACTGGATTTTTGCGGTGCGTTGTAGTAGAAGATTGCAATCTTATGTTTTCCTTGAATAATTAATCTTGTTTAAGCCTTAAAGATCGCCCATCTTACAAGGCTTTTCTTTTGAAAAATACATTTCGAATATTCATAAATTGGTCAGATTTGCTCTCGTGCTCCAAATTCAAAATGAATTTTCATGGCATGATGCTATTTGTGGCACCAAAATTGATTTTCCAAATGAATATTATGATTATTTTTTATATATCTTATAAAAAATATTAGAAATTTTGGTTTTGAGATTTTAAAAAGCATACAAAAATACCATTTACTTTTAATTCAAGGATATCATGATCACCTTGAATTGTTAGATAAGAAATATGACAGTTGAGATTATATGCCATTGACCGGGCATAATGTTTTAAAAAAAAGTATTCACCTGTGTGAGTGCCAAATGGATGGTACAGTGTCAATCTCAGAAGTCAAATTTATTTGAATTTTTTGTGTCACCAAATTACTATTTAAATTTAAATTTTATAGTTAACTCTTACTTTCATTGATTACTAAAAACCAACAACACCATTTTCTCATTTAATTACATCCATGAGTATAGATGATATATATAAATTTTTATTTCTTAATTCAGTCTGATTTAGGAACAAACATGAATATTTTTTGGATAATTCAGTCTGGAATTGAGCCCCTACCTATTTTTTAAATAGTTAAGTTTTTTAAGCTACCAGTGGGATAGGAGAGCACAACGGGCTACTAAAATAATAAGGTATGCAGTGTGCACCACCTCAACCCTGCTCCTTTTCCAAAAGGAAGATAAATTCACATCAGTCTAGAGGAAACATGATTGGCTTATATTGTCGATAAAATAGATGAGAAACATAGACATATGTTTTAATTTTTCTTGGATTTTTGTGGCAATGTTGGTGATCCAATGCCAAACTTAGGTGACATGTGGGTAGTTAGGGTTTGGTTATTTATGGCGGAGATATTTAGGCGGGTGTTTGATAGGGGCAAGGGAACCACTAAAAGCCACGTAGGTCACATGGTCATTAAAATAAGGATGAGGTGTTTATAATGCCAAGAAAAGTTTATATAGAGCTGAGGCTCTAAACGATCAAATTAAAACCCACTTCAAAATTTTCATTAGAAGGGGTTGTTTTGATGCTCAAATATCCTCAAATTGATCATCTCAACATCAAGATGCATGGACATGAGAAAAACTAGATTTCAAGTTTCGGAGATAGTGCATCTTGTAATGCATTTTTAGACCGTCAATTTTCAAGATTTTCAAGTTTTCATATATCTGCTCGATCCACACTATTTTTGAAGCTTTAAATTTTATAATTAAAAATGAAAATATATTTTAAGGCTACCACAAATATTTCTAGTATTGAAACCACATGTCTCGACTCTATTCGAAGGTGAGTTTTACTTTGATTGTTTAAAGCCTCAGCTCTATACAAACTGAAGCTATGTCGGCAATAAAAATCTGAGGCTCTAAAATCAATTTCCAATGCTGACAATGAAATTCAAACTCAAAAGATGGTACCGATCTCATGGATCATAAACACTTAAATTGACGGCTTGAATATTATGTTGCAAGATGTATGATTTTTGGGACCTTAATCTTTTGTTATATCTATAACCATACATCTCGATGTTGAGATGATCAATTAGATGGCTTTCTAATATCAAAATAGCCTTTATCTTGAGTTTGGAGGCATACTTAATTCTAAAATTTATGGTGTCAACTTTATATAAACCTTTTTCCTTTTTTTCATGGACAAATGTGGATTACTCGTTTAGTACTAGTCTTATGGTGTCAACTTTATACAAACCTTTTTCCTTTTTTTCATGGACAAATGTGGATTACTCATTATAGTACTAGTCAACGCATAGGTTTACGTCTCTTTCTCAAAACGGAGAGAGTTTGCAGCTGTTTTCTTTTTCTTTTTATTTTTTTTCTTTTTCCTGGGTGGAATATTGGGTTTGCAGCTATACTATGTTCACTTTGCAGGGTAGTTCAACTTCTCTTCAAAGTTGAAATATATATATATATATATATATATATATATAAAAAGAGAGAGAGGGTTGTTACGGAGGTGCCAAAACTTTGTTGATATGTAGTGTTGCAGGACTTTTAGCTAAATACGAGAGTATTGTTCTAATTTTAAGGGAAAAAAGCTATAGAAGGTGTCAACCTTGTACTATTTTGTATTATAGGAGGAAATCGAATCTTAAAAGCCCACCAGAAACTCTTATGGAAAACCCTCTAATTAGTCATCTCTACCTCGAGATGCAAGGATGCGAAAAAAAAAAGTGATTGTGTATAATGAGACCATTTACTTTTGGTACATAGATTTCACAATTACTTACAACTATCTGATATCAAACAAAACTCGAGAACATTGTTTTTGAGCTTTGAGTTTGGTCAATAAAATGAATGCAGCCACCCAATTTTACATGTAATGGTCAAGAATAATTGTGACCACCTTTTATCAAAAGTAAATGGTTTTTTATATACTTTTTCAAAAAAAATTGATTTTTCAAGTATTGAAAATAATTCATTATCTGGATTATTTTTAACATTTCAAGTGTTTATATACCTACTTGGTCTACACCAGTGTTTATATACCTGCTTGATCTAAACCATTGCCAAGGTTTTGAATTTCATAATTAGAGGTGAAAATAGTTTCTTAATGCCATCTCAGAGTTTTTTAACATTGGAACTGCATCTTTCAACACAAATTAGAGGTGCGACTTCGACTATTTAAGTTGCCAAACTTGTAAAAACAAAAGCATATTTTTAAATATGGAAAATTATTACAATAAGTCCATTTAGTTCACAATCCCCTTGACCATCAAACATAAAATTGTGTAATTGGAAGTGGGGTTAAAAAAAGCAGTCAAGTTGACTGCAAATTAATCGAATCAACTTGGAACTAAAGATCAATTCAAGTTGGCTTGGAATTGGGAGTCCCTGGTTGGTCCGAAACTACAGGATCACCCCAATTTGCCCATATTTAGGTATTTCATGATAACAAACCACCTGGTTCGCTATAGGGACTCAGGTGGGTGATTTTTTTATTTTTATATTTTTTTGGCAAGATTAATTGGTTTCATGTTTTTCTTGTGATTTTTTCCCCAAAAACTGGCAACCAACTTGGAGTGTAAGTACCCAATTTTGTACCAATTCATACCGACAACCCAATTTGGATAAGCATTGCCCCGTTAGCTCTTGTTTTTTAACTATAGGCTGAGAGTGTGTCATTGACCATGCTTAAAGTCCAAGTGATTTTTCGCAAACTCTGGGCAAAGAAAATAAAGTAGCCCTCCTTTCACATCCTAAAGATTAGGGATAGTTTCGGCAACCAATATCAAAAGTAAATGGTCACAGTGAATATTGCCATTAAATAAAAGTTCTCCTTCAATCACACAATCCCATGAAATAAAAGTTCTCCTACTATTATATTATAGGCAAGCTATCTATGCTTCTCCTATAGCATAAAACTTATATATTTCTCCTTTTTCAACCCTCCATTCTGAATGGAGGGCTAAGATTGCTCCAATCACAATGTCACGCCTCCACACTATTTTATTTTTAATTTTTTTTTGATAAACTATTTTGACACCAAATTTTGAGCATCCAATCCTCTACTAAACTCGCAATAGCAAAAAATATTTAAAAAAATATTTCCAATAAAATAAAATAACCAAAATACCTCTAAAAGATTCAAAAGGTATTTTGGTCATTATATTTTATCAAATAATTATTTTTAATATTTTTTATAGGTGTGTCCCAATGAGAAGATGGTACATACCAAATTTCATATTCATACAATTTGTATAAAAAAAACTAAAAAAAAAATATTTTAAGACATCAGATCTAATATCAAACGGTGAGTGACTATCTTGATCAAAATTGAACAGCTGGATGGTAGGAAAAATATAAATCTTCTATGCTGTAGGAGAAGTTTAGAAACCTTTCCCTTAATATTATGTTGTGTCAATTTTGAATACCAGGTAATTTATATCT